AGAAGATTAAAATAATATTAAATCAAGAGACAAGAAAGTTAAATGCTATCTTCTAGTGCCCTTGGCAACACAGGTCAATGTTTTTAAACTACCCTCAATGTTTTTGGAACAGCAGGGCCTTTTTCTCTTAAGGAAGGGTAGTAGTATGTCAACAAAAACAATGAATCAGTCTCACCAGCCAGGCCCGGGCAACGATGTGTGAATTCAAGGTCATAGACCCTCCCCCTCCCCTCTTACACCACCCGGTTGCTACCCAGTTGCTTCAATTGCTGACAAAATGCAAGTGATGAAACAAGGAAGTAGAGACAAAGAAATATATTTCTTTATTCAAAAACACAAAACTGTTAGAGATTATTTTCAAAGAAATTAATTCAATGTAATTTGTGAGTTGTAAATATTGTATTGGATCTTAGAAATATATTTTTTTAACCCTATTTAACCAAGATACAGATCTGTTCACTATATCAGATATTTCTTTTGTTTATAATTTATTATGTAAAATACTAAAATATATTTTTAATTAGGTATTGAATGAACAATAAATGATTATACTAGTATGTCTGGATAAATAGTCTTTCTATTCTTTTGACTTTGTTTTCTTTGCACTGTTAGTGTTGCGTCACGGCTTTTGTCTTGTTACTCTTATCAGTAGATGACTAGACCTGGCTCTGGCTAGTGGCAGTGCGGCAATTGCTCTGTTGTGTCTTTATTCTTAAAGGTCGTGAGCCAACTTAATTTTTAATTCTCATTTGAACATTTTAATTCCTCTGTAATAGATTTTAAAATGATTTTGGAGTAACCTACCTTGTTTTGGCTAGGTTCACAGTAGTAAAATATTTCACACACTGCTTACATCAAGACAAAAAACAAAACCTCTAATCATTTGCAATGTCAAAACAAAAAAATATAAAACAATTAAAGCTATATTTAATGCAAAGAATGTATTAAATAAGAACGCCTTCGTAAAGGAAACGCAACAGCAACGCGCTCCTGTATTGCGGGTATTGCATTGACTTTCTGCAGGCGTTTTTCGTATATGGATACTGACTCCCTCGTGAATCGAATCGTTTTTTGACCACCACTGAATCGAATCGCGATTCGATGCATCGAATCGAATCGAATCGAAATTTCGATGCATTTTCGATGCATCGCACACCCCTATTAAATAGTCAAGGTACCTTTAGTGAACTCATGGTGCTGTCCAAACTTTCCCTCAATGAAACTAGGAACTGGTTCAGTGTCAATGGGTTTTTTATGAATCCTGAAAAGACTCAAACTACTGTTTTTAAGTTAGGTCGCACACCTGAGGAAGAAAAGAATTTTTTGTCAAGTGTAAATTTATTAGGCATAGATTTGGATAGTGACTTAAGCTGGTCAACCCATTTATATAACTTAAGTAAGAAATTGTCAAGAGTTTTATTTTTAATTAGACGTCTAAGAGATTTTGTTCCTCCTTTGTATGTTAGATCTGCGTATTTTGCTTTTTTTCAAAGTCTGTTAAAGTATGGTCTGTTACTGTGGGGTAACTCCACCCACATTCTAATAATTTTAAAGCTTCAAAAAAGGCTGTAAGACTGTTGACCAATTCAGGGTTAAGGGACCATTGTAAACCTCTTTTCAAAGCAACAGATATTCTGACAACTGTAAATTTCTATATATTAGAGTGTGTTATTTTTGTAAAACAAAATCCTAATTATTTTAGCTCTAGAAATAATTTTCACTCTTATTGCACAAGGGGAAGATCTGCTTTGGATAGGCCCTACACTACACCAGACTAACAACAGTACAGCAAAGTTTTGCTAGTATCCAGTAAAAATAGTAAATTGTTTTGGAAGTGAAATACTTGACATTCCTTGTACTTGGCTAAAACAAAAGTTGATAGTTTGGCTTGCTGACCACCCTTTTTACAGTTTGGATGAATTTTTTGCAAAACACAACTGTAATGGTAAAATTGTTATCGTTATCTTGTTCTTACTTAGTCCCTAGTCAACTGTTACCTAGTCTTTCAAACACTTTGTTTAAGTACCTCACCCTTTTGTTTCTGTATATAGTTCTGTGTTTTTCAAATGATTTTTAACTATTTATTTTCTTGTTGTCTTTGTTATATTTAGTGAAGATTCCATGTTATAGACCATGTTATACTATCTAGAATCTATGGCCCTTTTTGGCACCTTTTTTTGTTAACGAGGTCTATTATAACATCTGTTATTTAATGACCAATAAAGATTTATGATTTATGATTTATTGTTGATATTTTTTATGGATTCCTTGATGAAAAATAAGTACATTTCAAGTCTTCTTATCATTTCAACACTTCCAGGAAAAAATCAGAAAAAAATCCAAAAAATCATAATCAAATTTGTGTGACAAGTGTAAATGCGAGCATTTAGCAAAAAAAAAGTGAAATTTTTATCAAAAAAATTAGTGGTAACTGAAAAAAAAACATATGAGGTGTTATAAAATTCAACATGTGTAATTTTTGGAGCAAAAATAAGATCACTGCAACCCGTGATTCCAATAGTCCCTTGCTCCCAATTACCCCACTTGACCCTATTTGAATCTTGAATCTTAATGACATTGTGAAAGTGCTGTACAAAACCTCTTCCAATCGGTGGCGGTTTGGTGGATTGCCAGGGATAATCAAGCAATCAGGCTGGGCAATGTCAAAATCACCGGCACTCCGATTGAAAAACCCCCCCACACATACATTGGGCAATATTTAGGCAATATAGTGCAGTAAAAATAAGAGAAAAATTCCATAAACCTAAAAAAAATTAGCACAACCGGGGAATTTGGTACAGATGTTGGGTGTACCTTCCTTTTGAACATACTAAAAGTCCCCTAAAATTGAAGCTGTGCTACGGCCGCCATATTGGAAAATGGCGGCATATTTATGTATTTTTCGCTATAGTTACTTTATTATTAGAGATACAGGAAAAAGCTAAATGTACAAAATGTAGGTCATCTAAAAATACACATTTTTTGTATTTACCATCTTTCTCTAAACCCAACGGTTTTTGAGTTATTTGTTATTAAGTATATTTAGTTTTTTCTATTTATAAAAAATAGGTGAAACACATGGAAATTTACCGTTACTTTCAAGGATTATGATAATTTATCCCATTTAGTTAAATAGTGTCATACTATAAAATCTTAAAATTTTAGCTTATTTTATGAGTAAAACAACTCTGCCAAAGCAAACCTGCAGACTCAGCAAATTTCCATTTGATTTGATGTTTTATTAATTGTATTTAAAAAAAAAATTAGATTCAACAGGTACCTAGGTTTGCTGCTACAGGTAGGTTATTTTAGCGTGTTTTCTTTTAGTAAAATATCAATAACTTAGTATAAAATAATTAATTTTCCAAGTTTGATCACAATAAATCTATAAACAAACAAACTGCAACAGTTAACTAATTCATAATAATAGCATGGTAGCTTAAGATTTACAATTTACAAATTTAAATATACAAATTTTGGTTGTGTTTACTAAAAATATGGCGATTATTCACCACGTTTCGAATACTAACCAAAGGGGTTTTCAAAAGGAGATGAAGCAAGTAATTTAAGTACTGTAATATTAACTCGTACCAAGTATCGGAAATATTGTATGCAGTGAGGTAATCAACCATATTTTGTAAACTACGCAATAGTCATATTAATATTGTATACTCATTTTTACCCAATAAATAAATTAACATTTACACAATTAACATTAACAATTAGTGGCACTACCACTATCACTCTGATATCAACTAAGTGGGATGAATAATTGTCGTAAACCTTGAAAGTAACCGTCGATTGCGATGGGTTTCACCGATTTTTGATAAATAAAACTAACTATACTATACCATACTTAATTAGTCACCAACATGAGCTAGACACGAAAAACACCCTTCCAAATTTACAATGGGATGTCAAGTATAGTTAGTTAGTGTGGTGGTGCCATCAAAATACTAAAATGTTAACTATTAAATGGGTAAAAAATGAAGATAAAATATTAATATGACTATTGCGTACTTTACAAAATATGGTAGATTACCTTACTACATACAATATTTTCGGTGCTTGGTACGAATTAATACTACTTAAATAACAGGCTCCATTTCCCTTTTGAAAACCCATTTGGTTATAATATTCTAATCGTGACGAATAATCGCCATCTTTTTGGTAAACACAACCAAAATTTGTATATTCAAATTTGTTTATTGTAAATTTAAAACTCCCATGCTATTCTTATGAATTAGTTAACTGTTGCAGTTTGCTTGTTTATAGATATATTTTGATCAAACTTGGAAAATTAGTTATTTTATAGTAAGGTATTGATATTTTACATAAAAAAAACACACACTATAACCTACCTGTAGCAGCAAACCTAGGTACCTGTTGAACCTAATTTATTTATATACATTTTTTAATAAAACATCTAATCAAATGGAAATTTGCTGAGTCTGCAGGTTTGCTGTGACGGAGTTGTTTTACTCATAAAATAAGCTTAAATTTTTAGATTTTATATTATCACACTATTTAACTAAATAGGATAAATTATCATAATCCTTGAAAGTAACGGTCAATTTCCATGTGTTTCACCTATTTTTGATAAATAGAAAAAACTAAATATACTTAATAACAAATAACTCAAAAACCGTTGGGTTTAGAGGAAGATGGTAAATACAAAAAATGTGTATTTTTAGATGACCTACATTTTGTACGTTTAGCTTTTTCCTGTATCTCTAATAATAAAGTAACTATAGCGAAAAATACATAAATATGCCGCCATTTTCCAATATGGCGGCCGTAGCACAGCTTCAATTTTAGGGGACTTTTAGTATGTTCAAAAGGAAGGTACACCCAACATCTGTACCAAATTCCCCGGTTGTGCTAATTTTTTTTGGGTCAAAACATATTTTTACTGTACTAATATGGTTGCTGGCAATCTGATCGCCAATCGATCACCTAATGTATGAAGAGCTTTAGAATCCATTATTTAAGTTACTCACATCAGAGATGAAGATGGAAGGTGGAGAAGACGGGATGAGCGGTGTGTGGTCAGCCCGAGGTGGCACCAGGTAAGGAGGTACAGTGGCCAGTGGTGGTGGAGTGGTGTAGCTGGGGTGGTGATGATGATGGTGGTGAGGCAGACAATTGCCAAACGGAGAAGGCACCTGCAACCACAAGCAGAACAAACCTCAGATACCAGTATACATTAGGGTGGGTTGAATAAATCAATTTGTTTTTCGAGTCTTAATACCTCAGAAAAGTTGCTAAATTGTAAGACAAAAACAGGGTATAAATATAACAAAATATTGATTGTTATCTTCCGGTCGCGCATGTGCTATAAATTATGAAGAACATACCCCCGCCGCAGCAAACCTGCAGACTAAGCGAATTTCAACTTGTCTGGTTACATATTTACTAAAATATTTCCATAAATAAGACATATTTATTCCCAATTTAAATAACATTAGATTTAACGAGTGCTTAGGTTTGCTGCTACAGGGAAGGTAAACAGTGTTTTTTGACCAAACGTCAATAGTATAGGATGAAATAAATAAATTTGCTAAATTTGATCGACAACAAAAAATACAACAAAACTAACTAACAACTAACACAACACTACAACAGTTTTAATTTTCTCCATAAGAATAACATGGAAATTTTAAATTTGCATTTTTTTGAATTTTCTCCGTAACCATTAGGCATACAACGATGCTTCAATATACTAAATTATTTCTTTTTTTAAGCTCTACATAATGGTTGGGAAAGAAATTCCAAAATTTTATGTTGGTCCGATTATGCTGATTCGCGAACTCGTTCGAATAAATGTAGGTTTACACATTTATACAAAATTTCATCAAAATCAGATGATTTTTGTTCGAGTTATCGTGCTAATGGACACACATATATATTTATATATAAATATTGATATATATATATATATGAATTTGAACGGATGGTGTTTTTGGTCTCTGGGGACCTCAAAACGAAAAAGTAAATCAGTCCCGGGTCGAGGTCTTACCATGAGACCTACGGTAATAGCTTATTCCCTATATAGAAAATTCGCTAAAATGAAAAAATACATTTTTGTTGGCAATTTTTAAATTTTTAATATGTAATAATTGAAATTGTCATCTACAAGATCTACTTTAATACTTTTCAATGAAATGGTGACCATATAAATTAGGTATTTTAAGCCCAGTATGAATGGAGATGAGTGTAGAAACTAAGAAATTGCTATTTAAATAACAGTATCGTATGTTAACATCTTCCGGTCGCGCATCGGCTGCAAATATTTTGAAAATTTGTTAAAAACCTGAAAAAGTTAGCAAAGGTAAAAAAGTGTAAAGTAGCTTTAACATTTACATTGTTATTTTATTAATTGAATACAAAGTAGATATGTGACATGTGAACACATTACATGACTAGTAGTTAGAACATTTCAAACTGTTTTCATATTATCAAATGCTGGCATCGTCGATCTTGACCTGAGAGTATAGTTCTTATAAAGCCATCTCGAGCTTTAGCTCCACAGACCTTTGCAGAAGCTTCGGTCACCAACTTCACGCATCTCTCCACTACTTGGGTGTGGACAGGCAGCTTCTCTGATAAGACATCCCACTTCGGAACTTATTCTGTTCTGATGTAGGTTTTTATTTGATCATCAGTAACATCATTTTAAATAAAGAAATAAAATATAATTGATTAATAGTTGTTAAACTTTATTATTAATTGTAATATTATTTATAGGAATTATTAATTAAATAATAAATAACTTCTTGATCAGCATTGTACGTGTTATTAAATTTACGGAAAGTAAATAAAAGAAACGTCTTATAACACTTAAAACATATATTTACGCTTATACTGTTACTCACAAGACGGTAAATATACAAATACCCCCGCTGCAGCAAACCTGCAGACTAAGCGAATTTCCATTTGACTGATTGGATTTACACTGAAATGTCTACTAAAAAATATAACATTTATTCTCTATTTAAAAAGAATTAGTATAACTAGTACTTAGGTTTGCTGCATCAGGGAGGGTAAAACTGTTTTTTTTTTTGTAAAACGTTAATAGTTAGTAAGAAATAAAAACATTTTCCAAATTTGATCAAAATATGTTCATAAACAAGCAAACTACAACAATTTACTTATTCTCCATAAGAATAACATGGGAATTTTAAATTTACAATTTTTTGGAATTTTCTCCGTAACCATTAGGCGCATAATAACGCTTCAATATACTAAATTATTTGTTTTTTTAAGCTCTACAAAATGGTTTGGAAAGAAATTGCTAAATTTTATGTTTTTTGGGTCAAAAATGGGAAAAACCTATTTTTACCCCATAAAACCCCCCGTAAACCCCCGTTCCCATGGTCCGATCATGCTGGATCGCGAACTCGTTCGAACAAACGTAGGTTTACACGTTTGTACCAAATTTCATCAAAATCGGATCATTTTTGCTCGAGTTATCGTGCTAACGGACACATATATATATATATATATATATATATATAAATATATATATATATATATATATATGAATTTGAACGGATGGTGTTTTTGGCCTCTAGGGACCTCAAAATGAAAAAAAAAATCGGTCCCGCGTCCAGGTCTTACCATGAGTACTACGGTAATAGCTTATTCCCTATATGGGAAATTCGCTAAAAAGAGGGTAAGTGGTGATCGATTTCGATTGGACACTCCAATCATCATCAGACCCAATAGGCGAATGACAAGAATCTTAATGGCGTCCCTACTTATACCCTATTGGCTACCGGAAGCACCGGCCAGTACAATTTTATAAGTACAACTGGAATCAAAATGTATTTGTTCATTACCCTTCCCGGACGGGCGAAATCGTGACATAGGACGGGCAAAAATCATAGGAAAAAATAAAAATTAATTTTCCTTTTTTGTGTATTATTATACGAATATACATAAAATAAACACAATGGAACACTTCATACTGTCCAAATAATTTTTTACTCGTTTTTATTTGAAAAAAAATTATGCGGATATATCCGCTCCCCGTCCGCAGATGAGTAGAAAAGCTGCGGATATATCCGCCACCCGTCTTTGAAGATATGACTATGACAACGTTAGGTAATAAATAAAGAACAATATGTTGTTGCGTTGTTTATTATATAAAACTGTTTCAAGAAAATAACACTTCAAGAAAAAGTTGAACTACAATTTCAGTTTTCAAAAAGTTACAAAATCATTTTACGGGGTTTACAAGGTGCCTGTAAATAGTCCATTCTTATAAAACAAGAAAAAATAACAATAATTTCAGTTTTCAAAAGGTTACAAAATCATTTTACGCTGTAAATAGTCCATTCTTCTAAAAATAGTCTTTTTGGGTGTGGTACACCTCAAAACATGTGTCTGGATGTAAGTACGGTTTTTCGTCACATGTTTTACAAAAGTACACAGTTTCCTTACGAACTTTGTTCTTTGCACAAACATGACATCTGAAGGACCCCTTCGGTGATTTGCCCATAACATGGAGTTTTCCGTTCAGCCGTTGAATATCATTTTTCGGTCGTCCTGGTCGTCTTCTTGTAAAATTGCAGGTCTCCTGAACGTAGTCTCTTACTAAATCTTCCACAAGGCTAAGTCTAAACTGTTTGTGAGACATTGCCACTCTGTTGTTGTCTTCTTGCAAGGATTTATATAGAATGTAAGAGTTTATCGTAGACACTTCAAGGAGCCAAAAGAAAAGTTTGCGATACCATTTTTTAGTACGCCTCATAAACTGATAACTAGATATCACGTGGTCAGCACGATCAACTCCACCCATGTGTTTAGTGTAATCTAAGACAACATCAGGCTTTAGAACAGGAGGTTTATTTGGCCACTTGCTGGGCTTCTCTGTCATCTCATTCCGGCTTATTTTGTGTTTGGTTGTAAGCATAGTTACCACTCTTTTGTCCTTCCAATAAATAACACCCAAGTCTTTGTTTCTTCGTGCTTCTACATCACCACAATTGAGCGGTTTGCTTAGTGTTGGCATTTCCTTTCTATTATTCATAACCGTTCCCGTAACAAACATATTTTTCTTCAGCAACTCTTTAGCCAGTTCAGGGCTATTGTAGTAACGGTCGACGTATACATGGTGACCAGATGGAGGGTCCAGGGGATCTTTTACTAAAGAATCGCAGAGTTGTAGAACAGTATTTGTTGTTTTCAAAAGCTCATCCTCGTTACCATCACTTTTACCGTAATATGGGCTAAAACTGTAAATATACCCATTCAGAGCATCAGAAAGAACAAACACTTTTAGCCCAAATTTTACAGGCTTGTCGGGGTTGTAAACTCTGAATGAAATCTTGCCCTTGAATGAAATAGTGCTCTCATCCACTGACACATACGAGCTTGGCGTATAGAATAGTTTACATTGCTCTTGAATTGTGTTCACAATATTTCTTATTTTGAGGTCACGTGCGCTTCCCTGTTCATGACTAAAGTGTAATCTCCAAAACAGCATCAAAAACCTATCTCGAGTAAAAACATCGGAAAAAAAGGGCATCTTGTTTACCCAGGACAATGAAAAGTAGTCCTTTATATCAGGCAACGGGTGAAGTCCCATATTCAGTACAACCCCGAGAAGAGCTCGGATCTCTGTGGTTGTTGTATCAGCCCAAACCTTTTGTTTCCTTTGGTTTTGAATAGGCAAACTTTGAGCATATAGGTTGGTTTCATCACAAATCAATTGTATTAGATTACTATGAAAGTAAAGTGAAAAGAAATCAATTGGTTTTGAAGTGAGATCAAATTCTGTAGGCAGATTACGACCGTAATTGCAGTTATAAATAGGAATAGTACTTACAGGTCCACTGTCACTGTCGGTCACAAAAGCATACTCCTTATCCCACTTCATACGAAGGAGTTTAGCTTTAGTTAGATTTGGTTGTTGTGCCTCTGTAGACCTCTTTTTAGATGGCTTTTTAGAGTTCTTTGCAAATGACTTTTTGGACGCCATTGTAGATTCATTGGTTGAACTATGAAGGCTTTCTTTTTCCGAGTCAATAAAACTTGAGGCATTCCCAATATCGTCCTCACTAACTTGTTCATCACTAATACTTTCCACTTGAACCACATTACATTCATCTTGAGGAACATCAGCGTCTTTGTCGTTTTCGGATACAAAACCATTTACTAT